GGGAAGCATGCTAAACACCTCAGTTGATTGCATTGCCAGTGAAAGTCAAAAAGATAAGAACAATATGGACCAAGGTGGACTGATCAAGAGTTTGAGTGGTAATGGGCTATCAAGGCCCAATATTAAACTAGAAGTTGTTCTGGACCAAGCTCAATTCGCAAGCCTAATGAATGGCGTTAATTAGGGGAGAACAAACTCAGATGGACTGAATCCTCCAAGTATTGAACTTTTAGGCCTGCATCATACGGAAGCACAACTTGAAGCCTAGGTGCACCACAGTAAAGATGAAGATGAGGAGGATGTGATCGAATTTGTGGATGAAACGAATAATTGTGAATTTTTGGCAATCCAGGACCAAAATCATAGCAATAAGATGAATTGAAAAGAGAAGAGGGTCAATATGAAAAAGAGTTCCAACCAGAAGAACAAAGGAAAGAAACAAAGTAAGCAACGAAGAAAGAGGAAAGCATCAAATTCTGGACAAAAGCAACACTGACCTAGCAAGAAGATATGGGCACAAAGGGGCATCAACAAGCAATCCAGGTCCAAGAAATACAATTTATAGAGTAGCAGTGGCAGCACTATCATTTTTTACTTCAACAAGTGGTGGAACTAACAGAGGCAGACTCATTCTTAACGAAGCACAAGCTACACTACAGATTGGAAGAATTTTGAACCTACAACTCAATGGGAAAGAAGCTGAGATTGTCAGCAAAATAGTGGATCTTGAGTTGAAAGATAAGGAGATGATTAAAGGAGAACTTGGGCAGCTGTGTAAAGGAAGCTGCTGGGGGTGTAAAGGTGTCAATCAAGTTATTATGAAGATACTATCTTGGAATGTAAGAGGGTTAGGGAGGAAAGAAAAGAGAGGCAAAATAAGAAAGCTATTGAAGGAAAAAAATATAGACATTGCTATGCTTCAGGAGACAAAGACGGCCTCTATCTCTGAAAAGGAGATCACTATGGTCAAGGAACAAGATGGAATACATGGTTGTGGATTCTGAAGGCTCAGCTGGAGGCCTGCTGTGCATATGGGATCAAGAGGTACTACAATTATCTGAATGTTGCAACAGATGTGCCATCTTAAATGTCTATGCTCCTAATGAGGTGAGTAGTACGGGTGAGTTTTGAAACTGTTTGATTAATTTAAAGAAGGAATTTCCAAAACCTTGGTGCTTGGTGGTGACTTTAATGAAATCAGAAATATAAGTGAAAGGAGGGGTTGCTCTAGAAGGGACAGAGGGATGAAGGAAATTAATGATTTTATTGATAAGTGTGAAGTAATTGATCTGCCACTATTAGGTAGGATATTTACGTGGTGCAATCCAATGGAGAGAGAGAAATGGAGCGAAATTGATAGATTCTTACTGAATCCAGAATGGGTACAGAAATTCAATATGAAACTATGGAGATTACCTAGAATCATATCTGATCACTGCCCTCTATTGTTAATGGACGATGAAAGAGATTGGGCCCCTAAGCCTTTTAGGTTCCTAAATGCTTGGACTCTACATGCAACGTTCCCTTCCTTTTTAGAAAAGCCATGGAATGAATCAGTAGTGGTGGGATGGGCTGGTTTTATACTTATGGGGATTACCTAGAATCATATCTGATCACTGCCCTCTATTGTTAATGGAGGATGAAAGAGATTGGGCACCTAAGCCTTTTAGGTTCCTAAATGCTTGAACTCTACATGCAACGTTCCCTTCCCTTTTAGAAAAGCCATGGAATGAATCAGTAGTGGTGGGATGGGCTGGTTTTATACTTCTTGTAGGCTTTGAAATTAGCTCTAAAACAATGGAGTAGAGAAGTCTTTGGAAATGTTACTCACAAACTAAAGCAAGCAAAGGAGTTGCATGACCTTGAGCTCTTGACTGAAGGGAGGGACTTAGATGCTACAGAGAAAGCTAGAAGAAGAGAGATCAGAGTCGGAGTGGGGAAATTGTGTAGGATGGTAGAATGGATATGGCTACAAAAGGCTAGGTTAAACTGGGCTTTAAATGGGGATAATAATACCAGGTTTTTTCATATCATGGCCAAAAGTAGACAAAACAGAAATGAGATTAATTCTATAAAGGTGGGAGATGTGGTGCTAGAGGATCCTAGTGAGGTCAAGTCTGGGGTGTATAATCATTTCAAGAACCACTTTTCAGGGTCATGGAAGTCAAGACCTAAGCTTGGTGGGCAGTTCAAATCGGTGAGGAGGAGCCCAACTTTTAATCAATTAGAAAATGCTTTCTCAGAAGAAGAAATCAAGGATGTAGTGTTTGAATGTGATGGTAACAAAGCACCAGGTCTAGATGGCTTCAACTTGGCCTGCTTCCAGAAATTTTGGAAGATTATGAAAGCTGAAATGGTCCAGTTCATGAATGACTTCCATAGAAATAGCAATCTGGTTACTGGGATCAATAGTGCCTTTATCACACTGGTTCCACAGAAACAAAATCCACTTGGCTTCTCTAATTATAGGCTTATAAGCCTAGTTAGATTACTATACAAAATAGTAGCTAAGGTGTTGACAGGAAAACTTAAAGCTGTGCTACCAGAGGTGATAGGTAAAGCCCAATCCGCTTTTTTAGGTGGCAGAAACATCCTTGATGGTGTGTTAATAGCTAATGAGGTGGTTGATGGATGAAAAAAGCTAAAAAGATGGGTGTAATCATCAAACTGGACGTTGAGAAGGCCTTTGGCTCTATCAATTGGGAATTCTTGCTCTCTATGTTGGAAAATTTTGGGTTGGGAGCTAAGTGGATTGTGTGGATTCAAGAATGTATTTCATCAGCTAGACTGTCAATCCTAGTCAATGGTTCTCCAACTAAAGAGTTCAGTCCACAAAGAGGCCTTGGGCAAGGGGACCCCCTATCACCATTCTCGTTTAATATAGCAGTTGAAAGGCTTAACATTCTTTTATCCAAAGCTTGGGATTTAGGGCTAATCAAAGGTACGATGGTGGGAAGTAATGAGGTAAAGCTCACCCACTTGCAATTTGCTGATGATTCAATATTATTTTGTGATACTAATTTGGCTGAAGTGAAGAACCTCAAAAGGATCCTAAGATGTTTTGAAATCATCTTTAGCTTGAGGATTAACTACCGCAAAAGTGTAGTATGTGGTGTTGGTGTGCCCGGTGATATCTTGTCTAGCTTTGCCTCCAAACTCTGTGAAGTTCAATCTCTTCCTCTCAAATATCTCGGCTTGCTTTTAGGGGCTAACCCAAATAGGAAAGCAACTTGGAAACCTATTTTAAATAATGTAAAGAGAAAACTAGCTGGGTGGAAGAGAAGATTCTTGTCTCTTGCAGGTAGACTTACCTTATTAATTAAATCTGTAGTCTCTTCTTTGCCAATTTACTACCTATCTCTCTTCAAGATGCTTGAAGGTGTAGCCAAGGGAATTAAGAAGCTTCAGGCCTCATTTTTATGGGGAGAGTCTGATCTGAGAAAGAACATTCACTTAGTTAAATGGAATGATATCACAAAAAGGGTGGATCAAGGAGGCTTAGGCATTAGAAGAGCAAGGGATGCTAATGCCTGTCTCTTGATAAAGTGGTGGTGGAGGTTTGGTAGTGAAAAGAATGCTCTGTAGATAAGGATCATCTGCAACAGGTACAAGTTGAATTCTGATAGTTGGCTCCCATCATTTAGCCCCTGTAATAGTTACTCAAGGGTATAGAAAGGAATAACATCAATTGCTAAACATAGGCACAGGCTGTATGGATTCTTCTTGGCAAATTTTCAAATAAATATTGTGGATGGTAATAGAGTCAAATTCTGGACTGACAGGTGGTGTGGTACCACAAGCCTTAAAGAAGAATTTCCAAGACTGTTTAGGTTCTCTCTGGAACAGGAGAATTCAATGAGAATGATGTTCGAGAAAAAAGACAATTCAGGGGAGTGGGTTCTTCAGTTCAGAAGATCTCTCTATGTGTGGGTGGCTCAGGAGCTCATGGGACTTTATAATCTTTTGGTGGTTGCACCTACTCTTAGTAACAATCACCCTGATAAAGCTGTGTGGGCAGCTTCAGCTTCATCTCCACTTATTTACTCTGTATCTTCAACCTATAAAGCTGAAGAGGATTTTCTTAGTCCCAAGCTTAAAACTTGTAATCTGGTGTGGATTAAGCACATCCCCCCAAAGGTCCAATTTTTTGGATGGTTGGCTTGGAAGAATAGGATCAAGACTGGTGAGCACCTTCATAGAATTGGAGTTCTTCAAGCCTTACTCCATCTCTCTGTGTGTTCTGTAAGGCTGGGTGTGAATCTCTGAACCATGTTTTGTATTCTATCCCTTCTCCTGGCAAGTTTGGACTGCTTTGTTTAACTAGTGGGATGTGCAAGGTGTAATGCCAGGATTAGTGGAAGCAGTTCTCCATTGGTGGGCTGGGGGTACTGTTATGAAGAAAGAGAGGCTGCTTTGGAGTGCCACTCCTTTGGCTGTGCTCTGGTCATTACGAAAGCTCAAAAACGACTGCATGTTCAAGGCAACTATTCCCAACTTGAGTGAGATTTGTGAATTAATTAAGACAAGGATTGTACTGTGGTTAAATCTGAAGTTCAATGACTTTCATTTCATAATCAATGACTTCTTGTTCAACTTTAAACACATCAGAGCCTGTCTTTGTAGTAGGTTGACTGTGGACCCTAGTTAGGTGTTGGCTTGTTTTCTATTGTTTTTTTTTTTTCTTTTAGCTTCTCTTCTGGATGGTTCCTCACCATTTTGTGGTGTGCTAGTAGATGATTTGGTTAATCCTGTGGTGCCAACTCAGTTAGGATCTCTGGATTAATTGTAATGTTTTTTTATTTATTTTTTTTAACGCATGTATTGTGTACTCTTCATGATTATCATCACTAATTTTTTTTTTCAAAAAACAAAAAAAAAATAAAAAAATAGAAGAATTGAAGAACATGGATGAAAGTATCTAAACCCTTTTTATTTATTTTATTTTATTTTTACAGAACACAAAGAAGTAATGATATGCAAACATAAAAATTATAAAGAAAATTTATACAAATTGATGGGGCAAATTTATGTATAGAAAAAAGTACATGTTATTTCGGTGGAGTCCACCTTTAAAGATAATAATGAGAATACCAGCGAATGGAGATACCATTGGCATGTCCCATCATGTCATTATGTATAAAATACACTTGTTGTAACTAGAAACAATGATTAAGCATTCACCTTGTACATGGTATAATTTCTATCGACCATTAAACATAGTAACGGTGATTTCATTGGCCATAATTGTTGTTTCCTCGAAACCAGCCTTGAGAACATTCCTTTCAGTGAAGAAGCCAGGTTGTTTGGCTTGAGGCAATGCACCTTCACTGCTTAACATCACAACCACGGATGACATGCTTGGCCTATCCTCTGGACTTTCTTGCACACATAAAAGACCCACATGGATTGATCGCAACACTTCAGTTAGGTAGCACGACTCCCATACAGCGTCATCAATCAATTGCAACGACTTGCCTTCTTTATAGAGACTCCATGCCTGAACAATCCACTACAATATTAGACACAGGTCCTTTATCTCCAAATTTCTCTATTCTCAATTCTTAAGACAGTTACAATAGTTAGATTATGCCTCGAGATACTTGCACCTCAAGATTCTCATGTGATCCCATGATTGTGTGTGTTTTGGAGCAAGAGATAGAGAGAATTTAGGGAGGGGTGACCATTGGTTCAATAGTAAAATCTTGGCCTAATAACCTTGAGGTTATAGGTTCAAGTCACGGGACAACTACTTTGTGCACTATGCCAGGTTAAGTGTATATCCAATCTTTTCTCTTCTATACACATATTAATGTGTACTAATTGAGTGTTATTTTTTTTAGATAAAGAGAATTTAGGGACAAAGGATCCTTGACCCTTATAGGAACACATGCATATAAGATTAATTACCTCTAATCTTAGTAAACTTACATGGCCAAGGAGGTTGAGGCGGTGACCTGAATGATAGAAACCCTTGTTTTTCTTGCCACTCACAATCTCTAGCACCAAAACGCCAAAGCTGAATACATCTGATTTTACCGAAAATAGCCCATCTGTTGCATACTCTGGAGAAATGTAGCCGCTGCAGCAAAGAAAAGTGAAGAACTGGATTTTGAAGCAACAATATAAGTGAATTAAACAAAGCATGTTATGGAGATTCTTACTATGTTCCAACCACTTTATTTGTATTTGCTTCTGTCTCATTTTCTCCAAAACTTCTAGCTATTCCAAAATCTGATATTTTTGGAGTCATGGCAATATCTAGCAAAATATTGCTAGCTTTAAGATCTCTGTGAATAATTCTCAACCTAGAATCTTGATGAAGATAAAGAAGCCCCCGTGCAATCCCATTAATAATGTGGAAGCGCTTTGGCCAATCCAACAATGTGCTTCCAGTTTGATCTGTCCAAATTTTTGTCAGATTTAGTCCACACTTTTGCTAATCGAATGCACAAATTTAACAGGCTTCTACAATGAAAAATCCTAAATTTTGGAAAACGAAGTTCATGCAAATGCACATGTAATAAAAACCACATAAAGTTTTGTTCCCATTATCAAATATATCAAAAGGATTATATGGAACCAAAAGAATAAAAGAAGGAAAAAGAAAGACTAATGGCTGGTTTGAGAGTGGAATCATTGTGGTATATTATAGTTTTGAAGAGAGCAAACCAAATATAAAATAGTCTAGGCTTTTGTTGGGCATGTATTCATAGATTAACATTGTTTCTTCTCCTTGAATGCAGCATCCTAGAAGCTTCACGAGATTTCGGTGTTGAAGTTTGGCAATACAGATAACTTCATTCTTGAACTCATCAAGTCCTTGGCTAGAATTCTTTGATAACCGCTTCACAGCTATTTCTTGTCCTCCTTCCAGTATACCCTGAGAATTACAATCATAATGGATAGAATGCTCTTCTATTAGAATTAACTTAAAAAAAACACTTATTCGTCTCGATTCCTATTTTTATGTTGCTCTGGCTGACATTGTCCCAATAGGTGCAACCATGACCAGTGATTTAATTATAGAGATTTATGATGTTTCATATGTAAGAAAAGTAGCATCATACCAATTGTCTTCTTTGAAAGCTAAAAGGAAAATATAAAATGCCTCTTTTCAAAATCAGGTGTATTTATAAAAAAATTTACATTCAAAATGGTGGTTTTGTACGAAAAGGTTTTACAGAACAGTAAGTACATGAACTTACCAAGAAATTGTTACATTCTATGAACATTTTTGTGATTCTTTTATTTATTTATTTTTTTGGCTGACTTTTTTTAATAATATTATTATTACGGAAAAGCAGTGATAAAAAAGTTGAATGATTTTATGGCTTCTGCATAGGCTCCATGAGATTGGGCATCAATCACATTCCTATAGACTATATAAGAGTGTCTTTACGTTGTTACCTTGTAAACAGGTCCGAATCCACCCTCTCCTAGCTTATTGTTGATTGAAAAGTTATGTGTGGAATTAGCTATTATAGCTAAGCCAAACAATGGCAACTCTAGATCTTCTTTTTGGCTTTGGTCGGTGTAACCTTGTTCAAAGTTGTGCATTAGAATTCCTGTAAAGCCGGGACAAAATGGATATCAATAAGACAAGTAGTTCCAAAAATGTAACATACCAATACAAAGTTTAACACAGAATGACACATATGGATATATACCTTCTCTGTTCACCTGTGAATTCTTCCTTTTCATTTTTTGGAGATACACGATCAGGCTTATACCCAGCAGAAGAAATCCAATTAAAAATGCTAAGGTCACTGCCACTATCTCTCTTTTCTTGCCATTGGAGCCGACTTGTCGGACTGTTGAATCCTCCATTCATTTAACATAAATGGTCAATTGATTAGTTAGATAGCACAATCATGAAAGCACGAACTTGCATGGATTTCTTTAGATTTCAAACCCTTGAACACCCTCCTTTATATTGAAATTGTTATGGCAAAAAGGATGAGAAAAGATAAAACAAAACAAACACACAAGCACACAAGAATTTATTTGTAATTTTTTATTTAAAGTTTATTTTCTCTCTTTTTCAGATGCAAAATAACTAACAATTATTATCTTACATTCAAATTTTATTAGTCTATTCTTTGCACTTGATAATATGGCTAATTAACTTAATCTTTTTTGTAATAGTCAAGTTAAGGAAGAATTCTGTAATTGATAATTTGAAATTTCTATAAGCATATCTTTCTATAATTTTATATAAGATAGACATAAAGATAAAAATATAATAGAAAAACATCTCAACAATATAAGATCAATCGTTTGATGATGATAAGATTTTGACAATTTATTTTGAGACTTAATACATACGTTGAAAAAAAAGAGAGTTTTGTAATGCAAAAACTAAATAGTAAAGGTGTTGGTAAAGATGAAGATGGCGGTTGATTGGGCCTTTTTTTACTGCTATTCTTATATTGACAAAGAAATTTTCCATTCGTAATTTTTTTAAACCAATGCATTTTTTTTTTAAAGTTAACTAGTGCAGTTGACTTTCAAGTAAAAGACTAAGGCTGTATTTCGATCAAGAATTTGATGAAATATAAGCTAAGTTTTTTTCACTCATCTCTTCCCTATTATTTCCTCCACAAATCTCCATCAAATCCTTCATCTAAACACAACGTACAACGCCGGGCATGTGGATCGAGAAGGGTAATAAGCATCATCCTAATCAAATTCAAGAAATTAAGGTTCAAGATGAAACCAAAATGAACTCTCTTTTTTCTAAATTGTAGTTAGATGTAGGAATGTAATAGATTTTTTGGGAAATGTAAATGTTTAGTATAGTTCAACATGGTTCTTACATATGTTAATCTAATTATTCTATGTTCAATAGTCTATGAGTTTGGTATAAATTCTTACCTAACTCAGAGGAAGCCATCCTTATGTAAATGTCTGGCCCATCTTGACTGAACTCTCTCATATCAATCAACTCATTAAACCAAAGCAAGCAGCCGCTTCCATCTGTTATGTCTAAATTTGTGTAAGCCGTACAAGAGCAATTTTTAAAGCACTCCATCTCGCATTCCTTTAGGGTCATGTTCCTATCAAACCAGGAGTTCCGTGTGTCTGGCATTTTATATCGTGAATACTTGAGAAACCCATCTCCTTTACTGCAATTCAACGGTGTGCTCCGAACACACCCATTAGAATAATCTCCATTTCTCCATTCCGTTTCGTTCTGGGGCACAAATTTACTCAAACAACCACATGCCGGTGAGTTTCCAATGTTACAGTTACCATTCGGACCACACAGTTTATAAATATCACAGTTATCTTGTGGGAAAGACTGGTACACGTCCCATTTCTGCTTTTGATCAACCCATATCCAGCGCCGCACAATGCCATCATAGCTCACATCATACTTTGAAACAACTGGGCTGGGGAGTTCATAATGATAATACACCTCCTCCTTAGAGTAAACCAATCCATATGTGTAGAACGGATTAGGTTTGAGGTTTGGTCTCCCACTGAATCCAATTCCATTCCATGGCCCAGTTCGGAACACGTCAACATAGCCACTGCTCAGAATATTTTGTGGGTATCCTTGAGGATCACATCGGTATGTAAACTCACCTCGAGCTGGATCATCGCGGCTCTTCCAGGAGGAGAGGTGGCGCTCTAGGCCCGTTTCAAAGTTCTTTCCAAGCTTCATGCCTGGTAAATGAGTATCACATGGATAATCAAAACTTTGCCAAAGAAAATGCTCGGACTTATCATTGGCATCTTTCAAAACTAGATTTCCAGAGTCCAAAAGTTGTGCAATCGGCTTCTGTGTGGATCCTGTCACATTGACAGACCAAATGACAGTGCCGGTACCATTGATGAGGGCGAGAATTCCAGGGTCGATAATCGTTAAGACGCCTGACGAATTGATGAGTGGGATTTCTCTGTTGGCAACCCATACAACAGTCTTGACAGATATTTTCTTGTACCATATTCCCAGGTATTGATTCTGGGAATTGCCAGGTCTGAAAAAACCCATCTCAAAGCTCCCACCAGATGAAACAATGGTATTGTTGCCTGTTATAGATTGAGTTTTGGTTATGGTGTCTACTGCGTTGGAGATTATTAAAATGGAAAATAAAGAGGAAAGCAAGAAGGGTATTTTGAGGCCTTCCATTGATGGTCTAAAGTTTGCTAATTTCATGAATTTTGTCTGTTTTTCCCATTATTTAGTCAATTTATAAATGAAGATTCAAGAACTCCTGCAGCACAAAGTCTTCAGTCGGACTTTTCTATGGTAACTACCCAATACTTGCTACCTTTGAGTTGTAGTTGGGGAATCATCATCCTCTCCTTCACTTTTCTCCTTGACTTCCTATTTACTAGATTATTGGATCCACTTTTAGACTCAATTTTGATGATCCGAACCGTTCACATTTTAAGATTTGTTGAGTATATTATATTTATAAAAAATCAAGTTGACCGGATATCAGAAATCATATGTTCGAAAAACTGTTTATTAATTTTTTTTTAAAATAATTTTTAGTTCAATGATCTGAACACATACTTTCTGATATCCAATCAATTTTATTTTTTACAGGTATGATATACTCAACAAATTTTAAAATGTGACGGCTTAAATTATCAAAATTGGGCCTAAAAGTGAGTCCAATAACCCAATAAATAGAAAGTTAAGAAGGAAAGTCAATGAGAAAATCTTAATTCAAGAAAGTCAATTACAAAACTTTGAATTCCACAATCATTTAATGCTAATTTAATACAAGCCCATTGAGACAAAAGAGTAGTAAAAATGCTAGACATCTAAAATGAATTTTTTTCTGTTTTTCTCATTATTTAGTCAATTTATAAATGAAGATTCAAGAACTCCTGCAGCACAATAAGTCTTCAGTCGGACTTTTCTCTGGTAACTACCCAATACTTGCAACCTTCCGGTTGTACATGGAGTCAATTACGAAAACTTTGAATTCCACGATAAGGAGCTATACTAAGAACCTAAATATTTTATTAAATATTTTATCAAATATTCTATGAAAACAACTCTCCTTCTTTTTTTTTTTTTTTCTTTTTTTTGTAGGTTGTTCTAAATTATGTTGTTACAAATTTTAAAATTTTTTAAAAATTTAGTAAAATAAGAATAAACACACTTTTTTTCCCCCAGATTTTAGAAACATAAAATTTGACTTATTTTTTATTTTAATAATTTTTTTCCTAATTTTTAATTTTTTTAAAAGGAAATTACAAAATAAATAAATAAATAAATAAATCTTCAGTTTAACACTTGTAACAAAAAATTTTGAATTTTCATTTTGTTAAATTAAATCCTAATTTGTTAATTTATTTTTAATTTAAATAATTTGCTTCATCAATAAAAAAAAGGGTATTTAAATCATTAAATTTAACAAAAAAATATTTTATGTACACTTATATTGAGTTTAATAGGTTAAATATTCTTTTTTCATTGATTTTATTTGATGAAAATAAATGAATGGTTTAAATTAAAAATAAATCCGAATATTAATATTTAAATTGATGAAATTAAAAAACATATTTTATTATAAGGGTCAAATCATGAACTTTAATTTCTCATATTTTTAATATGGTCTAATATATACAGATCTAAAAAATAAAAATTAAAACATACTCAAAATTGAAAAAAAAAATTATTTAAAAATTAATGGAAAAAATAAGTTAACTTATAAATGAAGAAAAAAAATGAATCCGAAACTAATGAGAAGATATATTTTGAACTTTGTCCATCACTGAATTGTGAGTTATATTACTTGAAACAAACAAAATCCTTAAAGCTTTTTTACAATAATCAATCACTTAGGTTTATGCATCAATATTTCTACTAAAATGACAGATTAATAAAATCCTATCATATCTCATATTTATTTAGAATAAAAAAACAAAAATTACATAGTGTAATGATCATTATTTGAAAATATTTCATTTTTTAAAATCTCTTAATCTATATTCCTCTTAATCCTCTCAATAGTCTCCAATATATTCCGCAAAGACTGTTAATCTATAAGTTCACATTTTTATTTAAACATGAGATTTAAAATTAATCAGAATACATAATCCAATCTTTTGATCTAATCCTCCAAGACAAACATAATCATCGAGCATCTACCGTCATTCCTCATTAAAATAGCCAAAAGTTAAATACAACTTTTGTAACTCGACTTTTTTTTTTTTTGGAAACATTTTCAAGTTAAAATTTTCTAGCCAAATTTCTATAAAATAAGTTTTGGATATTTATAAGTATTTGCAAATTATAGGAGAGTTGAAATCAAAATGTTTGATTTTTGTAAGTTAATCAAAAAAATCACTCGCTTAACCATTGGGTTATCCTTATTGATAAATTTAGTTATTCAAAATGTATGGATTAAATTTATTAAAAAAGACATTTATTCATAAATTTCTCTTCACTTATTTATATTCCATTTAGTCCAAATTATTTTCTTATATTCCAATAAGTCATATGGGTAACATAGATACCAAAAATATCTCTAATAATAATATTCATACATTATTAACCCCCAAAAAAATAATATTCATACAAAATTATGTTATTAACTAATTAGGATACATGTATTTGAAAAAAAAAAATTCTAATAAATCCCGCTTATTAGAAATACGACATGTATTACAATAAAGTTAAATTTATAATATACGCTTTATTTTAAAGTACATATATATGATTTTTTTTGCTTGTTTTAAGGTTTTAATTCACAATAAAATCTTATTTCGGCCAATTAATATGTGAGGCATATCTTTTTTCAAATCAACAAGTTTTAAAATTTAAATTAAATTTAAATAATTTACTATTCAACTTGTTTAATAGTTTAGTTTTATATTTGTCATTAGTATACATTTAAAAAATAAAATATATATAGAAATAGTAAAAAAATTGGAGTTTTCTAAATGATACTATTGATCCTTTCATTTTCATCTTTAAATTTCATTAAATTTGTTCCTTAGGTTGATTTTTCTTGATTGATGACCCAAGACTTGGAATCTTATAAACCATGGAGTACAAATGTTGAATAGTCTACTATTGTACAATGGGTATAATTGGCACGGAAGATATTTTTTAAAAAATATTTTCTTAAAAAGCATTTTTCTTTAATTTTGACAATTAAAATTTGTACAAGAGGTAAATTGCTAGTGACAGGCCAAAACAAGCCATGATGCAAATACATAGGCCATATTAAGAATTGATACATGTAATTAGGATAAGTAAAGTACAAAATACAAATATAAGTAGAATATAAATATTTTCGTTGTTCCTACCAAAAGAAAGTTATGAGTCATAATATAAGACAGAAAAAAGCAACACTTCAATTATAAATATATAATATTAAAGTAATGTGGCAGAATTGTAAAATATCAAAAATATCCTTAGTGTTACCGTTTCTTCTTTGCAATGATCCATTATACCCAATAGATCACTCTTATTTCTTCTTTGCAATGATCCATTCTACCCAGTAGATCACTCTTATAGGATATAGTATTTATGACAACACTTTTAACATTGTTAGTTTTTTTCTTTTTTGTAAACGTGAAACAAAAAGTATAAAGACTTTGAAATGTTCATTAATTCAGAGAGGTCGCCTATTAATTATAACTTTGAAATTTTTCTTCTTGATGCCTTCTAATCTAAACTTTTACAATTAACCCCGATAATTATTAATATTATTTTTTTTTTTAAGTTTTTCGTGATCACTGAATGAACAATGACTTGGTTGTATTCTAAGATCTCATGGCTTGTGAGTATTGCCTTTGTGAGTGTTCTATGCAACAGAGTATGTAATAGTAGTGGAGTGCCTCTCTATTTGTTTCAATGAAAAATATTTTAATGAAAGTCATAATCAACAAAAAAATAAGCTTACTCTGATAAAAGATGTTTTCTACTTTTGAAAGATGAAAAATATTTTTTGGATTAAAGTCTTGCCGATGCCACCACCACACTACCACTAATATATTAATTTCAAGTCACAATTAAATATATATAAAAAGAAAATTACTTGCTCCTAAAACAAACAGTGAATATAATGAGAATACTAGAGAAAGGAAGAGACCATTGTTAGGTCTCCATCATGTCAATATATATGTATATTCTTCATACTAATTTAATTCTATGCATATGAACATGTTGTAACAAGAAACATTTATTAAGCTTTCAAATTGTACATTGTATCAAATCTAACTAAAAGAACCTGAACTCCAAAAAGAAGAACAGGTTTATAAAACTTAACCCAGTAGCTGAAAAGAAATGTTGTAGTCTTTCACAACAGTAAAGAATTTCATTTTTTTAAAACAGTTTTTGGGGCATATAATTTGCATCAATACAGTGTGTTTCTATTGAGCATTTAACAGATAATGGTCATTTCATTGGCTGAAGCTTTTGCTTTTGAAGAACTAGCAGCCTCAAGAACATTCCTTTCAATGATGAAGCCAGGTTGTTTGGCCTGAGGCAAGGCACCTTCACTACCCAACATCAGAACCACAGATGACATGCTTGGCCTATCTTCTGGAGATTGTTTCACACATAAAAGACCCAAGTGGATTGATTGCCACACTTCAGTTAGGTAACATGAGTCCCATAGAGCCTCATCAATCAATTCCAATGATCTACCTTCATTGTAGAGTCTCTATACCTTAACAGATTCTCACACAATCCAACAATTGTGAATGTTTTGGAATAGCGAGAAAAGAGGGATTTAAGACACAATCATATAAGAATACTTCTAAACTCAGTACACTTAAATGGCCAAGGAGGTTGAGGTGGTGATCTGGATGATAAAAACCTCTATTTCTCTTTCCACTCACAATCTCTAGCACCAAAACGTCAAAGTTGAATACATCTGATTTTACTAAAAACAATCCATCTATTGCATACTCTGGAGACATGTAGCCACTGTAAAAAAAATGTTGAATGAAGAACTAGATTTTGAAGCAATAGACAAAACATGTCATATTGATTCTTACTATGTTCCGACCATTTTGTTTGTATTTGCTTCTGTCTCATTTCCTCGAAAACTTCTAGCCATTCCAAAGTTTGATATTTTTGGGTTCATGTCAATATCTAGCAAAATATTGCTAGCTTTGAGATCTCTGTGAATAATTCTCAACCTGAAATCTTTATGAAGATAAAGAAGCCCCCGTGCAATCCCATTAATAATGTGGAACTGCTTTGGCCAATCTAGTAATCCGCTTTGGGTTTGATATATATGTCCAAATGTTTGTCTGTTAAATCCTCCCAAATTTTGGGAGATCTGGTTCATGCAAATGCCCAAGTAATAAAAATCACATACAATTATTATGAAATAAATCTAAAGGTTTATATGGAACCAAAAAGAATAAAAATAAAAATAAAAAGAGGAAAAAATAAAGAAAGATCGTTGCCTGGTTTGAGAATTGAATGGTTGTGATTATACACAAGGTAGGGTAAGTTATACTAACTTGCCTTTAGATTTAAAGAAAATACATCGATTTTCACAAGTTTGACATGGTTTTAATTCATACAATATTTTGCCCATTTTCATTAAAAAAATTCATTATTCGTATGGATGAAAAAACGGCGATAATCTCTTTTACACAGAAATGTATATTTTGCTTTGTTTATCCCTGCTACACACCATCTATATTAATTTTGATCTTTTTAGCTTTACTAAAAGAGTGATCAATGTAATTATGTCAAACTTGTAGAGCTTAATGTATTTTTTCTAAATCCAAGGGTGGTGAATGTAGTTTACCCTACATAGTATTATAGTTTCAAGAGAGCCAAACCAACAATGAAGTAGTCCGGGCTTTTGTTGGGCTTGTACTTGTAGATCAACATCTTTTCTTCTCATTGAATGCAGCATCATAGAAGTTTTACAAGATTTCGGTGTTGAAATTTGGCAATACAGATGACTTCAAACTCATCAAGTCCTTGGCTAGAATTCTTTTAGAGCCGTTTCACGGCTATTTTTTGTCTCCCTTCTAGCATACCTTGAGAATTACCATTGTACAATGTTCTTATGTTCGAAATTAAAAGAAAACAATTTTTTACCAGTGATTTATGTTACAACATTACCAAATACATACTTAAAGACATAATTACACCAAGGTTGTCTAGCAAGGTTAGGGCAGTGCATGTCCTACTTTGGATGGGTGAGTCTGGATAGGTGGATGGATGGAATTTTCTGACTTAGAACTTCTGTTCAAGATTTAGAAAATATTACCTTTTCCCCATCATTCCTAAGCAAAAATCCAGTCTCAATCATATTTCATTAGAGCACATGCAGAGATAAACTTCTTCTCAAAAGCAGGTGTATTTGTCAAAATTTTTAATTCAGGCTGGTGGGTTCTGCATAAAAATATTTTAGGGAAATATTAGTATAGGAATATGAAAAAATGTCAGAAAGATGCGGTCATACTTCACCAAAATGAAAGCAGTGTACACTTTACTGTGAAAAATTTTCGTGTTAGAAACGTACTGTTCATGGAAAGAAGTGATGAAAAAAGTCGAATAATTTTATGGTTTCCACATAGGCTGGATGAGATTGGGTGTTGATCACATTCGTATAGATTACATAATAATCTTTACATTGTTACCTTGTAAACAGGTTTTTGAATTCAGTTTTTTACAAATTGAGTTATTTGTTTTTCGTATTTTTTTGTTTTTAATATATATTTTTAAAATTTTAAGTAATTTTTTTTTCTTTTTTAGATGCACCTTACTTAGATATATTTAAGTAGTAAAATATTTGTGAAAAAATATTTTTAAAAATTAATAAATATAAAAAAATATGAAAAATGTAATAAATTTTTGCTTTTGCTTTTGCTTTTTCTTTTTTGTATTTTTGATATTTATGTTAGGCGTATCTAAAAATTAAAAAAATGAATAAATTATAAAAAAATTCATTGAAAACAAAAAAAAAATACGAAAAATAAAAAAATAAAATTTTTTGAAAAGTATTTTCCAAAAACCAAAACCAAATGTGGAATAGTCCGAGTCTTTTACAGTGTTTATAATTGCAGTCCTGCTGGGGACCCCTAGTGGGGGGTGACCCTAGCACCCCCACCTCCACGTAGGGGGGTTGTGACTTGCAGACAAAAAAAATAAATAAATAAATTTGAGCCAATCACAAAACAATGGGGGTGCTGGGAGTCACCCCACTGGGGGTCCAACTCATTTTCCTTATAATTGGCACGGCATTAAAATTAAAGAATTTCGTGGAACTAAAGTTTATTATTTTTGAAGTATGTGAGTCAACAAGAAATTTCTTATTTGTCAATTTTTAATGCATCAAGATAATCATTTGTTATTATGAATAACCAATGATGTTTTGTTGAATAGTCTAAGTCTTTAACAGTGTTTATAATTGGCACGACATTAAAATTGAAGAATTTCGTGGAACTGAGGTTTATTATTTTTTAAGTATGAAACTCAACAAGAAATTTCTTATTTGTCCAATTTTTAATGAATCAAGATAATCATTTGTTCCGGTAGAAATAGCCATTGTCTGATCTTTCACTGTAAGATAGAGGAGGAACTTGGACGGGTTCGATCCGAGTAATCCGAGCCCAGTTTGAATTTTTTTAGAATTTGGACAAGGTATTTTTGAATTTGGTGTGGATTTGAACAAGAATTTAGAAGCCCAAATCAAATTTGGACGGGCTTGGACAAAGATATTAAACAACCCGAGCAATCCAAAACTTGAATTATATATATATAGATATATTAAAATAATTTAGATCATTAAATTATATTGAATATATATTATATACACAAGTAACACAAAATCTTACATTTTTTATTCTCACTCATAAATTGTAAAGACTATCATAACGATATCTCTTTTATATTATATAAATGATTTGTTTTGATATTATTAATGATTTTCTTAAAAAAAATGTAAATATGGTTTAATTTTAATAAATTAATAATTTAGCTGCAAAAAAAAAAAATTGAAATTTATGTACAGTTCAGCAACTTGAGTTTAACTTGGGTCGGGCTTAAGTGGACAATCTCGGGTTACAATTTAGGCTTGGGTGGAGCTAGGCAAGTCTCAGCATAACTTGAGTTTGACTTGGATAACCTCCTAACCAGATCGAGTCCCAGAGCCAGCCCAACCTTCGATGAGGCCTATAGTAAAATCTCAATTAGAGGATTTTTATATTAAAATATTTTACAATACAAATTTTGGGTGTTATTTAAAGCTTTTATGAGGGTTATGAAATGAAAAGAATTGAAAAGTACAAACTATCAAATAAATATAATTTATAAATTCAAAATGAAGATCATGTCAAGAAAAAAATGTGAAAATTGAAAATAAACTTGTAAAGCATATTTCAAACTGATGGAGGCGTTTTTCAAAATAACTCTTTTTAAATTAATAGATTGGATAATTTTAAATTTTGTGTAATTTCTTTTCAATGTGAACCTTCCAAAAAAAAAATATAGATACAAACATATAACAAGTGGGTAGAGGACTTTTTTTTTTTTCTCCTCAATATGTATAACATGTATTGTATTCATGGGTTGGGATCTTTTTATTATAATGTTTCAAAATAAACCTTTTAAAAAATATACATATATAATTATAATTTCTTTAAATTTATGGGCCTTCTTCACAAACTGGGCCTAAAGCCTTTGCTTTTGTGGCTTGGCTATTAAGTCAGGCCTGTCAAGTCCGTCCGAGTTGCACCCCTATCGTAAGAGGAGCTGATTGGGATTGTTTGAACAATTCACATAATCGTTGGCCTGTTACCAATTGATTCTGCATAGCATTATTGAGATCAAATTAGCACGAAATTAATACACTTGGCAGGTCCAATCAAACCATCATGCTCCATTTCTTGTGGAGATAAATATTTGTTGCATTTTAGTTTGTTTTGATTGAATTTTTTTTTTTTCTTTCAAAAGATAAAAATCGTTTTGTGAATTAAAGTTTTATTAATGCCATCATATTATTACCGCCACCATCTCACCTCCACTGCCACACCACCAATATCACTATGGTCACTGTCACCACCACCACTTCCATCAAACAAAGCGTTACATAACATAGCTTTTACGACAACACTTCTAGGTTAGCGTTTTTGATAATGTTATTAGTTTTTTATTTTTTATTTTACAAAAACTAAAAACAAAAATAAAACTTATTTGATATGCCCAATTGTTTTTAAAACATAAAATAAAAAAAATAAAAATATATGATTGATGAGTTGTTGAAAGTTTAAGAAGTGAGGGTTGTCGAAAGTAGAAGAAGGTAGTAACCAATAATGGGGTGACTTCTGCACTAATTGTTAAATATAATAACTATATATTCTATCTATCATACATATATATCATATTATACTAGCGGTAACCTGTGCGATGCACGGAAAAATAGACTATATATATTTTGTGTGATAAATAAATCATCTTAATCTTAAATTATATCTTAATAGCGACAAGCCATAATATTAAGCCATCTAGGTAGATGTTAACAATAATTAACCCACAAAATTTTACAATAAAATTTGATATGCATAAGAAATTATTAATTATAAAAATTGTTGAGAATAATAGTATCACAATCACTTGATAATATCTATACTATATATATAAGTTTACATGGACTTTTAAATCAGTGGTGTATATTATCATTGTGGGATCAAATTATGAATAAATATCAACTTTTAATTATAATTTATAAGTAGTTTTTAAAAAAATTTAATCTAAGTTTGTTGCCTTGCTTATAAAAAGAACTTCTCAAACAAATCATTAATTGATTATATTAGCAACTCTCTATCTTTGATTTTCTCTATCAATGACACACTCATATCATATCAAAGTATAAATCATTCTCCATAAATCATTCTCCATAGTTTGAATAATACTTGCATAGTTCCTACGTCATTTTAAAAAAATTAATCAAGATAAGAATGTCATAGTATTATAAAAACTATATAAGAGAATAGTTTTAATCCATTTTATTTATAAAAAAAATGATAAAAAATTATTTGAATTGTATTTGAAAAAATATAACAAATGATAGCTTTAATCATTATATACCCCAAAAAAAAAAAAATTATATCGGTTACTTAACGAAAAAATGATCAAATACAAATAGAGTCATGAACATTGAATTGAATCATATGGGCTCTAAATTGATAGTATAATCTGCAAATCAACTAATAATAACATAGAGATATTGAAAAATATGTAGTACTTCCTTTTCATCTTTGTATTATATTCATTAATTTCATATATTATATGAAAGTTTTATTCGTCTCGATCCTTCAATAAAATAAGGATCAAGAAAACAAATTTGATAAGAAATTGATTCTAAACTTAATTATTGAAAAACAAAAATTTCAAAGAGAGAATTTAGAGATGGGATTGAAGAAATACTATAATGAATGACAGCCTTACAAAAAAAAATTTTAAAAAAAACATAACAATGATCTAATGCAAATTATTTTTAATAACTAATAGAAAGAATCTCAAATTATTACCTATTATAAATATAGTGAAGAAAATTAATTTTGTGAGATTTTTGTGCTACCTCTCCCATGTAGCCTTTATTATTTCATTATTAATACTATTCTCCTTCAGAGAGATAATTTTTTTTTTATAATAATCTTTATCATTTGGTAGATAATAACGAATAATAAAAATTATCAAGAGAAGGTTAAGAATTTAATAGGAGATAAGAAGTTATAGATAAGAGCATTTCATAAGATAAAAAATTTAAAATAAAAAAAGATAATATGTGATAGGAGAAAAAAAAATGAGTAAATCAAAATAAAGATTTAGATATATATGTTTTTGATAGATATATAGATTAACAAATCATATCTTTATCTAAATTTTATTATTTTAATTTTTTAAAAATCAATTATTTAATCTTTATCTTTATCTGTAGGCCACGAAATTAATCTTTATAAATTATTTATCAATTTTTACATGTTTATTTATCTATAAGTCATGAAATTATTACTTAGAGTTTAATTGAAAAGAGTAGGTAAGGAATTCAACTCTCACTTTGAATTTGACTCACTAAATGTAAGAATTCAAGAGAATTTAGAAATTAAGTATAAGAAATGGGCTAGAAATGAAGGAATTTAAGTCATACAATGCATGCATGCATATTTCCTTACATTTTGTACTTAATTTTCAAGAATTCTCACATGCATGTAGCCATTCTAGCTTGGTTTTGGAAATTCATCAAGTTTCATACCATTTTACTTCAAGAGATTATGTTTTAGAAGTTCAGAGCTTGAATCAATACATGCATGTTATATATATACAAAGTTACAACTTAATTTTGAAGAATTGGCATGCTTTTGGGGCTTGATTTTGTGAATTTAGCTTTATTCTATGTTTTCCCATAAGTTTCTACATGTTTTCTACACTTTTGGCCCAAAAGGATGAGTTTTGATGAGTCAAAGTTGGGTTTTGAACTTGAAGAACAAATCTGGAAATTTCAGAATTTAGTTGCACTGCCTGAGCGACTAAAGCTTCGCTCGAACTTAAAATTCGAGCTCCCAGTAGTTTTGCAGACAATTGCACAGTGGCTTGAGCGACCAAATGTGTGCTCGAGCAACCATTCTTTTTCTTTGTTCTTGGCTCAAGCGATGGTCGAGCAGCCGTCGAGCGTGAAAATCGAGCATCCAGTACTTTTACGGACTTTACAGACTGCTCGAGCGACCAAAGCTTTGCTCAAGCGAACTGCCCTATTTACAGAAATTTGGCTAAGTGTTTCAAAGTATAGTTTTGTATCCTTATTACATCCTAGGCATTCCTAGGCCACGTTTAAGCTATAATAATGAGGATAAGAGTTAGAAACACACGCTAAGAATGAAGAATAATAAGTTTAGCGCCGATAGCACGTGTGTTCAAGTGTATCTGTCATGTGTTTGTAAGTCACACGTCCAACGCCCTCAAAATAATACATAAAATCCATCACTTTAGACATGCATTGATACAAAAGAAATCAAACATTTCTATTCATCAGAGTAGTTCTTACAACAGTATTACATGTTAACAACAAAAGCAAATGCCCTACAGGCTTACAGCTTTCCAAGTCAACACTTGGTTGCACAAAAGAAGAGTACTAACTCTACACAAAATAAGCCATTGGCTTGATATACATGTAATACAAACAAAATAATCAAAAAGAGTCTTTAACTCCCACATCCATCCAAGCTATGTCCTTGGAGGTGGCATGCTACCTGTACCTGAAAATAATGTCCCATATAGGGGGAGCCAACGCCCAGTAGAGATATGCTAAACACAGTATGAGCAATAACTAAGACATTAACAAATGATAAATGTTTAATTCCCATAAATCAATTCATAACCCATTTCCATTACACGACCACTATGCCCATGTTTCATTTCATTTTCCATTTCCATCCAATTTCCCATTTACAACAACGGCTCAGAACCTGGCCAACAATTTTCATGAGACAGTGACTCATATTAAACATTTCTCATTACACAATAGATAAGCCTACTAGCTATATCAACATCTCAATAGATAAGCATACAAGCTGTGTCCACACTTCAACAGATAAGCATATGAGCTTTATCAACACTTCCATAGATAAGCATATGAGTTGTATCACCACATTATCTGACAAGAATATGAGCTGTATCAGTGGAGTCCATCCTCTATCTTCTCCCAAACAACATCTGGTTTAGAGGTCCATCCCCTATCTTCCCCTAAACCGTGGAGTACATCCTCTATCTCCTCCTACACACACAACGGATATACACATAGGTCATATACACAATCAATCAATACATAACGCAAATGTATTCTATCAATCGTCATACTCTATGACATACTCAATTGATTAGTTTAGTTTGCGTAATCATCAATCATAGCTACCCTCCACCGGTAGCCCAAAACAATTATCTCTAAACAGATAATAAAAGCTCCAACAGATAAAATATCAATGTTTTCAAAAGTGAGCGATTAATGAATCCAACTCCACCATTCTACTATATAATGAGCCAATTTCATTATTTCCAACTCAATTCCATATAACCACAACTTTCCCATATTAATCATGCCAATTAATTTATACAACCAATTAGGGTTTTCTACCCCATTTCCCAATATTGACCCAACGGTTTATATATCAACAACCAACAACAACATCATTATTTTGAAACCCACAATACCCATTTTAGGATCAAAATAACAAAACCTTCTTTTAACATTTTGAAACCCTAGGTCCCAAAATTACCCAACTTCAACACTTTATCAAAACAACCAAAAATCTATGTCAAAGACCATAAGAGTGAGTAGGAATTCCTACCTCAAAAGTTGACACCCAACGAAGAAGATGAAGAAAACGGAAATGCTCCAAATCCCGAGATTCTTGGATCAAAAGATAGCCCTCGACGATCAACAATCCTTTTGTAAAGGCCAAAGGTGAGGAAACAACTCTTACTAGATCAATACCTAGAGAGAAGGCAAGGTTTTAGAGAGAGAGGCTCTCAAATGGCCTTTTTGAAAAGTAAGAGAGAGAGTGAGGATGTAAAAAGTGATTTAGAAATGCCCAACTGCCTTCTGATATACGATATTCCCGCTCGAGCGGAAAACACAATGCTCGAGCGTCAAGCACAAAAATCTGGACAAGCTCGAGCGCAAGAAGGCCCGCTCGAGTGCCAAGACATAAGAATAAAGTATATCCGTTCGAGCGCGAAAACCAGTCCGCTCGAGCGCAAATCTCCCTCTCCTAGAACTTTCACCAAGACAGTACTACCCGCTCGAGCGCTAACAAACCCGCTTGAGCTCGACTCGCTCAAGCGCAGGAAACCCGCTCGAGCGTAGAAATCACACCTGTAGAAGTTTTGCAAGGACACGAAATACTGGGAGCATGCAATCTCCGCTTGAGCGCCAAACGACCCGCTCGAGCGGAACGACCAAAAACCTGGCGACAAGGATTTAGACCAAGGCTCGACCTACTTGCTCGAAACATGCCCAACACATCCTAAAACTAAATAGATAAGGAATTAAAGGATGACAACTAGGTATACAACCACCAACTTCACGGAACCAAAGTCCGGAACACAACAAGTACAAAAAGGGAAAACCGGGATCGCAATAACCTTCCCCCTTTAAAGAATTCCGTCCCCGAAATTAAATACAAGTTTTCAAAAACAAGTTTTCTCCACTCCCCCACAATATTACAACATAATATTAAACAATCCGATCCATTACCGGTCAATCCCCTCTCTTTTCAAGAGGCATTTCACATTATACATAACAACCTGCATTATCAACATGCATTTCCTTGAAATTTACCAATTTCAACTCATTTTCCACAATTCCTTAACACATGCAACATTAATATCATGCTTGCATTTTCACAACATACTTAACACGCACAATGTTAACATAGCTTCCATTTACCAAAATATTCATAATGTTTTACAACTTAAGACATATATAATGCTCTTAAAGTTCAACAATATTACAAAATTACCAATGCATGGTTACACATCAACAAACAAGTCCAGATATTTTTCACGGACTTCCAACTCACGTTCCCAAGTGGCTTCCTCCACTCCGTGATGCTTCCACAAAACTTTTACCAAGGGAATGGTCTTGCCTCGTAAGACTTGATCCTGCCTATCCAAGACCCAAACCGGTCTCTCCTCAGGTATTTAAAGAACAGGTATTTAAAGACTGGAAATGTAAAAGACTGGAAAAGAAAATATATGAAGTAAATGACTGATTTGTATGATCTGAGTCCGTCCTTTTTTCTGGGGGCTGCCCTGCTATTTATACTCGTCAGTGATGACCTTCGAACTGCACTTCGAACCGTCGAACTGCTCCTCCATGATCGCTGATCATGCTTCCTTACAAGTAGCTCCATTACGCCATTACTGGCAGTTGAGCTTCCCTCTCGTAATTTGAATTTGAATATGAGTAACCGTTGAAGATATGTCGTCTTGCATCCCGTTATTGATCTAGTGTTACTCAGATCATGTGAGGACCAACATTTATTGCCACGTGTACGATCAGGATTAAAGGTTTGAATAACCTTCCTTTATTACCCTTACTCTGCCACGTGTCGAACTGTAATTGGCTTTTACAAAATATGTAGCCAAAAACTACATTTTTTTTTCTTTTGCAAAGGCTGAAACTTTGTTAGAGAATTTGCCAACAGATGCGACCACTTCTGAGTTGATTTTTGTGTTTGCCTTATTTGATTAGGGAAGCTACAAATCAGTGGGGTTTTGGAAAAATATTTGCAGATTAGTGAAAAAATTTATGAATTTAATTATTAATATCTATAAACTTTAATGAGTTTGAATTTTTTTAGCAAAAATTCACTATTTTATTTTATTTGTCACAACTTGTAACCAGGAAACAAGTGGGGTTGATGTTGGTCTTTTGGGTGAAAAGAATAATTTGTATTTGGACATGGAAATAGGCGATGACATTTGGAAAGTAGGTTAAAAGTCAGTTTTTTGGTTTTTTTTGGCTTTTTTGAAAAAATGTGTAAAAAAAGTAGAGAGATTATGCGACTCAAAAAAGCCAAAAAGCTAAAAAAAACTGACTTTTAACCAACTTGCCAAAATATGTCACATATTGATCTTGGGTCATATGGTGGGTTAGTACTGCTGTTGGTGAAAGTCATGTCCAGAGGGATGATTTAGGCTTAGGTGAAACTGAGGGTCACATGAATGAAAATGATACTGAGTGCCAGAGGGATGAAACTGATACTGAGGGCCAGAGAGATGAGGGGACTAGAAGAGAACATGATTCTGACTTGGATTCAAGTGACTATGAAGGTTACATAGATGATGAATATGGCATGTGTATTGATGATGATAAACTATATGAGGCTAACATAGATGCAGATGTTGAATGGTCTGGGGTGAAACATTATGCAAGGAGAAAATTGGGATGGTGGGGTCTTGAACTTTAATGATGAAGCTGAGGAGAGTGACATTAACTCTGATTATGGGGACTCCGATGATGAGCTGTTGAGCTTGGACAGTTCATCTGATGATGACACATCTAGATCCAAGAGGCTCGTTTTAAGCATTTCAGACCTGAAACTGACATGATGGACCCTGAATTTAAGTTAGGCATGATATTTACCTCTGCCAAGGAATGCAAGGCTGCAGTAAAAGAGTATGCATTGAGGAAACAGAAAAAGGTGAAGTTGGTGAGAAATGGCAAATTAAGGGTCAAAGCTGTGTGTAAAAGAGGATGTCCTTGGGTTTTGTATGTGTCTAAATATGATGGGGATGCATTTCAAGTGAAAACTTATAACAAGAAGCACACTTGTTCTAAGACATACAACAATAGGAATATAACCTCTAAGATTTTAGCACAGTTTATGGAGGAACTCAGAATCAATCCAAATTGGCCTGTCTCTGCCATGAAGCAAAGGATTAGAAAGGATTTGAAATTGGATGTATCAACAAGTCAAATTTATAGAGCCAAAAAAAGGGCATTTCTAATGATTCATGGAACTGATGCTAATCGATATTCCAAGCTTTGGGACTATTGTGAAGAGTTGAGGAGGACAAACCCTGGCTTCACTGTGGTGATGGAAGCACCAGATCATGAGGAGCTTAGAGAGCCAAAGCCAAGATTTTTGAGATTATATGTTTGTTTGGAGGCTTGCAAAAGGGGACTTTTAGAAGGTTGTAGACCATTTGTTGGCCTTGATGGTTGCCATATAAAAGGTACACACAGTGGGCAATTGTTGACAGCAATTGGTATTGATCCCAATCATTGCTTATTTCCAATTGCATATGCTATAGTTGAGATTGAAAATAAGGACTCATGGGAGTGGTTCATTGGGCTGGTTCTCCAAGATTTGGGTATTACTCCTCAACAGCAACATCACTGGGCCTTTATAACAGATTAACAAAAGGTATAATACTTGTTATTATTAATTTTTACTTTTACCTTGTATATAGCATTTACTTCTAAAATTTGATTTTGGTTTCCATTTGACAGGGTTTAATTCCTGCACTTAATGAACTAGTCCCAGAGTCAGAGCATAGGCATTGTGTGAGGCAAGGCAACTACACAACAACTTCAAGAAACAGTTTCCTGGTTTAGCACTGAAGGATAGGATGTGGAGATGTGCAATGGCAACCACAATACAAAGGTTTGCAGCAGAGATGGAGTTGTTAAAAGAGGAGGATGAAAAGGCTTTTGATTGGTTAGCTAATAAGCCGGCAACATAGTGGAGTAGCTCACATTTTCCTACTAATGTAAAGTGTGACCTTTTGTCGAACAATTTATATGAAAGTTTCAATGCTCAGATTCTAGATGCATGGGACCAGCCAATCATAGAGTTGATTGAGAGAGTGAAGACATACATAAAGAGTAGGATGCTAATTAGAAGGGAGTGAGTGGGTGAAGAAGTATGATAGCAAGTTATGCCCAAAGATACAAGAAGTGTTGGAAAAAAACAGAGAGCAGTCAAGTATGTGCATTGCAGACTGGTTTAGCCAACTAAACTACCAGATAAGCTGCCCTTATGGTGATCAGTACACTGTGAATTTGACTGAGCATACTTGTTCATGTAGAAAGTGGGATCTATCAGGGATCCCATGTGCACATGCCATTGCTGCAATTCATGACAGAGAACATGAACCGGAAGATTTACATTGCTCAATACTACAAGAATGAATCTTACCAAAGGGCTTATGAACCTTTGATTCAACCAATGAATGGCTATAAGATGTGGCCTAGGACAGGGTTGCCTCAAGTGCTACCTCCACACAACTACAAGCTAAGAAACTAAGAAGGAGGGAACCAGATGAGCCAACCAAACCAGGAAAACAACATAAGCTAAGGAGAATTGGCCAAGACTCGGTGAAGTGTAAGAATTATGGGAACAAAGGCCACAATAGAAGGACATGCACAACCAAGAAATCCCCTTCCTGGGTTAACATCAGTCCATGAAGTTGTCATGTGACTAGGCCTTTTTTTATTTTTTTATTCTTTTCTTTTAATTTTTTTTAGTTCTTTTCTTTTCTTTACTTTTTTTCCTGCCCTTTTTTTATCAATTTTTTTCTCTTTCTTTACTTGTTTTTTTTCTCCCTTACTTGATTTTTTTGCCTCGTTCTGTTCTCCCACATTCTGTTGCATAGTTTGGGCGGGAAAGTTTCCACCGAGGATCCAGCTACACATTTTCCCACGTGTGGAGATGTTTTTCCCAATAATGCCCTCAGCTGAAGTCAGCAAGTAATAGACATTGGCTTTAGGACTAAAATGACTCAAATTGGTAATTTTGAGGATTAAAATGTTAAAATTAGAACTTGAGAGACTAAAATGACAATAAGTGCATATTTTAAGGACTAAAACTATCTAATAATACATTTTTTAGTTAATATTAAGCATAAATAATTAAATAATCATTACAAAAAAATTTACTGTAAACTTTCACAATTGACATCGGCAAATTTTCATTTTTGAAAGCCTTCCATGATATAATTGAAAATCTCTTAATAAAAAAATTTTGCTTTTAATACAAATCATAGGAAATTAAAATTCTTAATTTCAGTACATTAAAATGCTATCACATTTAGCACAAATCACCATAAATTAATATCTCTAATTTTTATTTAAGCTGTGATAGAAAAGTGAGATAGGAGACCCCATAAAAAAAAATGAGGGGACGCGACACGTGGCATGGGTAGGGCATTGGTGGGACATCTTGGATTGTTTGGGGAGTTGAATATTTTAGTTAATTTTTTGATTTTTTATAAAATGATGTACATAAAATTAGAGAGAAAAGTTAATTTTTTAATTTTTTTTGACTATTTTAGCCAATTACCAAAACAAGCACTTATATTATATTTTTTTTAAAAAAAAAACATTTTAAAAATTAAAAAAAATGTGGGGGCACCTGACCCTTGGTCTTGCACACGTGTTCAATTAGACCGTTCAAACAAGTTGTGCCCAAATTAAATGGCCACAAACAACAACAAAGTTGTATAATTCACAGATTTAGGAAGACACAAAACACCAACTTCATATATTTTCTCTCAGTTCTTCTATTTGTACATAAATTAATTATAAAATCAAACATAACTCTGTCCAAGTGAGACCCACTTTATATAACAAGGATTGTGTCTCATTATGTAAATAATTTCTATGTACCTTAACTGTTTCATTCCTTATCGAGCATTTAAGAGTGTAATGGTGATTTCATTGACTGAAGTTGAACTTGGTGCATCTTTGCTTGAAGAAGAATCACGGCAAGTAAATAGACGTTAGCTTCAGGACTAAAATGACTCAAATTGGTAACTTTAAGGACTAAAATGTCAAAATTAGAACTTGAGAGACCAAAATGACAATAAATGCATATTTTAAGGACTAAAACTATCTAATAATACATTTTTTAATTAATATTAACCATAAAAAAATTAAATATTCATTACAAAAAAATTTACTGTAAACTTTCACATTTGACATGGGTGAATTTTCATTTTTGAAAGCTTTCCATGATATAATTGAAAATATCTTAATAAAAAATTCTTGATTTTAATACAAATCATAGGAAACTAAAATTCTTAATTTCAGTACATTAAAATGCTATCACATTTAGCACAAATCACCATAAATTAATATCTCTAATTTTTATTTAAGCTGTGATAGAAAAGTGAGATAGGAGACCCCATAAAAAAAATGAGGGGACGCGACAAGTGGCATGGGTAGGGCATTGGTGGGACATCTTGGATTGTTTGGGGAGTTGAATATTTTAGTTAATTTTTTGATTTTTTATAAAATGATGTACATAAAATTAGAGAGAAAAGTTAATTTTTTAATTTTTTTTGACTATTTTAGCCAATTACCAAAACAAGCACTTATATTATATTTTTTTTAAAAAAAAAACATTTTAAAAATTAAAAAAAATGTGGGGGCACCTGACCCTTGGTCTTGCACACGTGTTCAATTAGACCGTTTAGACAAGTTGTGCCCAAATTAAATGGCCACAAACAACAACAAAGTTGTATAATTCACAGATTTAGGAAGACACAAAACACCAACTTCATATATTTTCTCTCAGTTCTTCTATTTGTACAGAAATTAATTATAAAATCAAACATAACTCTGTCCAAGTGAGACCCACTTTATATAACAAGGATTGTGTCTCATTATGTAAATAATTTCTATGTACCTTAACTGTTTCATTCCTTATCGAGCATTTAAGAGTGTAATGGTGATTTCATTGACTGAAGTTGAACTTGGTGCATCTTTGCTTGAAGAAGAATCAGCTTCAAGTGGATTCCTCTCAGTGTAAAAACCAGGTTGTTTAGGCTGAGGCAATGCACCTTCACTGCTCAACATCAGAACCACACTTGACATACTTGGCCTGTCTTCTGGACATTGTTGTACACATAATAGTGCCACGTGGATTGATCTCAGCATTTCAGATAGATAACATGAGTCCCTTAAAGATCCATCCATCAGTTCTAGTGACCTGCCTTCTTTGTAGAGTGTCCATGCCTGAACAATTCAACATGAAGATGACATTATAAAAATAAAAATAAAAACAAATCTAAGGCGATGTTTTAAATATTGGCCAATACGAACTAATGATGAAAATGAAAATCAATGCAAAACTGCCCATATCGGTTCATAGTCGATATGGGCTTATTCGGTTCAATTGTTCTTTTAATTTTTAATTTTTAATTTTTGTTTGTTTGTTTGTTTTTTTTTTTTTTTTTTTTTTTTTGTGTTTTCATAAACAAAATGACAAAAAATTAAAAACACTTACTGTTTTCGTATCATTTTAATTTTTGTTTGAAGCAATTTTCAAAAATTCAAAAACCTACTTTTTCATTTTTCCTACAAACTAGGTTGTTTTAAATAAAATAAAAAATTAAAAATAATTTTGGACAGTTTTTGAAAAAATTACGATCACGTCATTTGACTTTCAATACAACTATGTGGTGATTCATGCAAATTCATCTTGTGATATTGCTATTTAAAATGTTGGTCTAATAGCACATTAATATGTAATATAATGTATATTAGTAGATTGGAACTCACATGCCCGACAAGATTGAGACGGTGGGCTGAATGAATGAAACCTCTGTTTCTCTTCCCACTAATAATCTCTAGCACCAAAACGCCAAAACTAAAGACATCTGACTTTACTGAGAAAATCCCATCAACTGCGTACTCTGGAGACATATAACCACTATAGTAAAACGTTAGAAGAAGAAAATTTTACGGAAACAAGATTGAATAACATAAAACATGCATATATACGTACTATGTTCCAACCACTTTGCTTGTATTCGCTCCTGTCTCATTTCCTCCAAAACTTCTAGCCATACCAAAGTCCGATATCTTTGGGTTCATGTCAACATCTAGCAGAACATTGCTAGCTTTGAGATCTCTATGGATTATTCTGAGTCTGGAATCTTGATGAAGATAAAGAAGCCCTCGAGAAATGCCGTTGATAATGTTAAAGCGCTTAGTCCAATCTAGTAATGTGCCACGGGTTCGATCTGTGCAAAGTTTTTTAATATACATAGAAAAGAGTTTCTAAATAAAAAACCACTTGAATGCCAAGAAAACTAAAATAAAAAAGATGGACTTGTTAAGCTTTAAAGCCGAACCAAAAATAAAGAAGTCCAAGCTTTTGTTAGGCATGTACTCATAGATCAGCATCGTCTCGTCTCCTTGAATGCAGCATCCCAAAAGCTTCACAAGATTCCGATGTTGGAGCTTGGCAATACAAATAACCTCATTCTTGAACTCATCTAGTCCTTGTCTAGAATTCCTCGAAAGTCTCTTCACAGCTATTTCTTGTCCCTCTTCAAGAAAACCCTGAGGACAAATTACCATTTGTGAGTTGTGAGGCATGTTTTTTTTCATCTTTCCCTTTTGTCGTCTTCATTATTTACTGCCTTTTTCTACCTCATGTCTAACACATTCACTACAAGTTCTACTAATGACTATTGCATTTTTCATACATAAGACAAAAATATGAATTTATCTATTGAACTCAGCATTTGCTATAAAAAAAATAAAAAAATAAAAACAGAGAGATTTTAGTTCAGTCTCTAACTTTTTATTAAAATAACTTCGTGGTTTAGGAACTTCGCTTTTTTTGTTTTTTTGTTTTTGAGCATCGATATACTAATTAAAACAATTTAACATTCAAGGTTACCTTGTAAACGGAGCCAAATCCACCCTCTCCGAGCTTATTATTTTCTGAGAAGTTGTCAGTTGCATTTATAATTGCAGCTAAGTCAAACAATGGTAACTGCAAATCTTCTTTCTGGCTTTCATTGGTGTCATCGTTATATCTCTGTCTCAATAGTCCTGCAAAGAATTAACAATGATGGATTTAAACAATAGAACTTGTCGTGGTAAGGCGTGCATGTACTGTACAAGTCATACAAGCACTCAATGCTTCCTGCAAAATAGTAGAAAAGAAAATGTCATTTTTAGGTCAATTACCTTTTCTCTTTTGCTCCCTGTTCTTCTTTCTCCACACATACAATGTCAGGCTTAGGCATATAAGCAGCATTCCAATTGTTAATGTCAAGCCGACTATGATACTCTCTCGTCTCTTCCCATTGGAGCCAACTGGTTCTATCCAAAAAAAAAAAAACAAAAAACAAAAAACATTGAAAACGATTTATTAAAAGATTGTGGGCACATTTGGTATGGTTTACAATTTCTGTATTCTGTTTTTGAAAATAGAAAACAGTAATCTGTTATTTTAATCCAACGCTCATGTTTAGCAGAAGAAGTCCAATTAGCAATGCCAATGTCATTGCCATTATCTCCCTTTTCTTGCCTTTGACACCAGCTTGTTGGACTGTTGAATCCTCAATCCATTAACAGAAATGGTCAAGTCAGTTATATAATACAACCATGACTTCAGATTTCAAACCTTTGAATATTTCCTATATATTGAAATTGCTGTGGGAAAGGCCATAAAAAAGTTAAAACAGAACAAAAACATAACCACAAAAGGATTAAGTTTGCCTATAAGCCTATGTCTATGGGTGAAAAATGTTTAATGTTTTATATTCAATATAGAGTCTCTCTCTCTCTCTCAACTACCAATTTACAGAAGTTCACAAAATCATCATAAATAACCCAATCAGGTCAAAATAGACGCAAATACAAATAGCAAGTCAGACCTATAGGATCCATCCATTCGGGCCAAGGATGGGTAATAAGCATCATTCAGATCGAATTCAAGATACACCAACAACAGAAATCAAAGTCCAAGATAAAAACCAAAATGAATACTTCTTTTTGCTATACTGTAGTTAGATGTAGAAATGTATTGTAGAGGAATTTTTTGAGGAAGAATTGTAAATGTTCAACATATTTAACTATGATTCTTACATATGTATAATCTAATTAATCTGTGCTTGGTATGAATTCTTACCCGACTCAGAGGAAGCCATCCTTATGTAAATATCTTGCCCATTTTCACTGTACTCTTTCATATCAATCAACTCCCCAAACCAAAGCAAGCAACCACTTCCACCTCCTGTTATATCTAAATTTGCATAAGCCGTACAAGAGCAATTTTTCAAGCACACCGTCTCACATTCCATCAGGGTCATGCTCCTGTCAAACCAGGAGTTCCGTGTGTCTGGCATTTTATATCGCAAATATTTGAGAAACCAATCTCCGTTATGGCAATCCAATGGTGTCCTCCGAACACACCCATTAGAATAATCTCCATTTCCCCATTCCGTTTGGTTCCGGGGCACAAATTTACTCAAACAACCACATGCCGGTGAGTTTGCAATGTTACATTTACCATTCGGACCACACAGTGCATACGTATCACAGTTATCTATTGGTGAACTATGGTAAATTTCCCATTTCTGGGTTGGATCAACCCATATCCAGCGCTTCACAAAGCCATCATAACTCACATCATACCTTGAAACAACTGGGCTGATCAGTTCATAATGATAATACACCTCCGCCTTAGTGTAGACCAATCCATATGTGTAGATTGGATTAGGTTTAAGATTTGGTCTCCCACTGAATCCGAGACCATTCCATGGCCCAGTTCGGAACACCTCAACAGAACCATTGTTCAGAATATTTTGTGGGTATCCTTGAGGATCACACCTGTATGTAAACTCACCTCGAGCTGGATCATCGCTGCTCTTCCAGGAGGATAGGTGGCGCTCTAGGCCTGTTTCAAAGTTCTTTCCAAGCTTCATGCCCGGTAAATGAGTATCACACGGATAATCAAAACTTTGCCACAGAAAATGCTCAGACTTATCATTGGCATCTTTCACAACTAGATTTCCAGAGTCCATAAGTTGTGCAATAGGGTTCTGTGTGGATCCCGTCACATTGACAGACCAAATGACACTTCCGGTTGCATTGACAAGGGCAAGAATTCCAGGGTCGATTACTGTTAAGATGCCTGACGAATTGACAAGTGGAGTTTCTCTGTTGGCAACCCATACGACCGTCCTCACAAAAATTTTCTTGTACCATATTCCCAAGTATGTATTCTGGGAATTGCCAGGGCTGAAAAACCCCATCTCAAAGCTTCCACCAGATGAAATTATGGTATTGTTGCCTGTTATGGATTGAGTTTTGGTTATGGTGTCTACTGCGTTGGAGTTTATTAACATGGAAAACAAAGAGGAAAACAAGAAAGGTATTTTGAGGCCTTCCATTGATAGTGTAGTGTCTAATTCATGGAATTCATCTGTTTCTCTAAAAGAAAACTCAAGTGCTCTTACAGCACAGTAAGTCTTCAGTTGGACTTTTCTATGGTTAGCAAGCTAGTACCTTTCATTTGGACTTGGGAGCCAATAAAAAAGACTGGAAATTCCAATCATCTCCACCGTTTTCTCACCACCACCACCCAGTCAAATATTAATTTTATTTACATGTACATTTTAGAGGCCAATGCTCCTTTTGTTTGTATAAAAAATATTTTTCTTATTTTTTGACATTTGGTATAATAAAAAAAATATTCAAACATAAAATATTTTTCATAATCAACAAAAAAAAAGCTTAGTTGGGCATGAAATGTTTCACTTTCAAAAGGTAGCAAATATTTTTCAGACCAATGTCACCACACTACCACCGCCAGTCTCACCTTCACCACTAGACCGCCATCACCACGGCCACCACCACCACCATATATAGAAAAATGTCTATAGATCTAATATATTACCTTAGTGCTATATATGTTTATATATATTTGATTTGTTGAATAGTTGTTTGTGTATTTGAATAATCAGTAAGCAATAGATAAAATTGATAAACTCGTAATTTATGCATTATTTTAGAAAGCTCTCAAGGGAATACACCCCTATATGATAAAATCACTCATTTTTAGTGCTTAATAGTAGTTGCTTGGAGCCTTAAAACTCTTGAGATTCATTGATTTTTTAGTATATTGTTTTCTGACTTTGTAATTGAACCGAGGTGATAATAGTGTTTCATGATTCTTTCTACCATTGTTTTGATGTAGATAAATTTATCTCTCTCTCTCTCTCTGGTGGCTTATTGTTGCGGGAGGGGATCGAGGGATTCGAATTCTAGATCGGAGAGTGAGAGTGGGAAGAGGAGGAGTTCCAGTAGCTATGAGAAGAAAGTGTATGCTAACACTGCATGTGACAGTGATGGAACCAACGCTACCGATCGAAGCAAACTCGTGCTTTTCGATCGGAAAAAGCAGTTTGAACTTGAGGATTTGCTTCGTGCTTCGGCTGAAATGCTCGGAAAAGGGAGTATCGGAACAGTGTATAGGGCGGTGCTCGATGACGGGTTTACGGTGGCGGTGAAGAGGCTGAAGGATGCGAATCCATGTGCGAGGAATGAGTTTGAACAATATATGGATGTGATTGGGAAGCTTAAGCATCCGAATATTGTTCGTCTTCGAGCTTACTATTATGCCAAGGAAGAGAAGCTTCTTGTGTATGATTATCTCCCAAATGGAAGCTTGCATTCTCTTCTTCATGGTATTCACAATTCATCCAATCAATATTGTGTTGGGTAGTGTTAAAAACCATCTCCAATTCTTTACCCTTTTTCAAGAATTTTGATAAAAAACTTGATTTGATATTACTTGGTCTGTCAAATTTGTTTGAATTTAGAATCAATTCTTATCAAATTTGTTCATCAAATCTTTTTTAAAAATACTTAAAACTACACCAAAAATCTCTTTTAACCAATTTAGGTGAAGAAAATCAGTATTAAGTTTTTCATCTTCTAACAATTTCTTCAATCTATAGGATGTATTTGAATTATGAATTTGGATAAAGATTTGGAAAATGTAAGGAAAATGCAAATGAAATACAAGCTTATTTTTTTCTCCACATTTTCTTCCATTTTCCCCCAAATTTTTATCAAAATTCATGATTTAAACAAATCCATGGTTGTAATTTCATCAAATTTTGGTGAAGAAATTTGATCCTCACCTGATTTAATATAATATTTGGTCAAAACTTGATTTGATACAAATTTAATAAAAGGTTTGATCATTTTTGTTATCAAAATTATTATTAAATTTAAATTTAATGAACAATTTGATAAAGAATTGAAATTTGTATATGTAAAATTCTTAAGTGTAATGAGTTTTTCATTGTGTTGATGCAAACAGGGAACCGGGGTCCGGGGAGAATTCCATTAGATTGGACTACGAGGATCAGCTTGGTGCTTGGAGCAGCACGTGGCCTTGCTCGGATTCATGAAGAGTACTCTGCAACAAAGATCCCCCACGGGAACGTGAAATCATCGAATGTACTGCTCGACAAAAATGGTGTTGCTTGCATTTCTGATTTTGGGTTAGCATTGCTTTTGAATCCAGTTCATGCGACAGCAAGGTTAGGGGGGTACAGAGCTCCTGAACAGGTTGAAATCAAGAGACTTTCTCAAAAAGCAGATGTTTACAGTTTTGGAGTATTATTGCTTGAAGTGCTTACAGGTAGAGCTCCGTCGCAATACCCTTCACCGACACGTCCCCGAGTGGTGGAGGAGGAAGAGGCAGTAGACTTACCGAAATGGGTGAGATCAGTGGTGAGAGACGAGTGGACCGCGGAAGTGTTTGATCAAGAATTGTTGAGGTATAAGAACATAGAGGAGGAGCTTGTGGAAATGCTTCACGTTGGGTTGGCTTGTGTGGCAGCACAGCCCGAAAAGAGGCCGGCGATGGTGGAGGTGGCGAAGATGATAGAGGAAATCAGGGTGGAGCAGTCTCCGATTGGCGAAGATTACGACGAATCACGACACACACAACGTATATACACATAGGTCATATACACAATCAATCAATACATAACACAAATGTATTCTATCAATCATCATACTCTATGACATACTCAATTGATTAGTTTAGTTTGCCTAATCATCATGCATTGTCTACAACAATCATAGCTACCCTCCACCGGTAGCCCAAAGCAATTATCTCTAAACAGATAATAAAAGCTCCAACAGATAAAATATCAATGTTTTCAAAAGTGAGCGATTAATGAATCCAACTCCACCATTTTACAATATAATGAGCCAATTTCATTATTTCCAACTCAATTCCATATAACCACAACTTTCCCATATTAATCATGCCAATTAATTTATACAACCAATTAGGGTTTTCTACCCAATTTCCCAATATTGACCCAATGGTCTATATATCAACAACCAATAACAATATCATTATTTTGAAACCCACAATACCCATTTTAGGATCAAAATAAAAAAACCCTCTTTTAACATTTTGAAACCCTAGGTCCCAAAATTGCCCAACTTCAACACTTTATCAAAAACAACCAAAAATCTATGTCAAAGACCATAAGAGTAAGTAGGAATCCCTACCTCAAAAGTTGACACCCAATAAAGAAGATGAAGAAAATGGAAATGCTCCAAATCCTGAGATTCTTGGATCAAAAGATAGCCCTTGACGATCAACAACCTTTTTGTAAAGGCCAAAGGTGAGGAAACAACTCTTACTAGATCAATACCTAGAGAGAAGGCAAGGTTTTAGAGAGAGAGGCTCTCAAATGGCCTTTTTGAAAAGTAAGAGAGAGAGTGAGGATGTAAAAAGTGATTTAGAAATGTCCAACTGCCTTTTGATATACGATATTCCCACTCGAGCGGAAAACACAACGCTCGAGCGTCAAGCACAAAAATCTGGACACGCTCGAGTGCAAGAAGGCCCGCTCGAGCGCCAACACACAAGAATAAAGTACATCCGCTTGAGCACGAAAACCAGTCCGCTCGAGTGCAAATCTCCCTCTCCCAGAACTTTCACCAAGACAGTACTACCCGCTCGAGTGCCAACAAACCTGCTCGAGCTCGACCCGCTCGAGCGCAGGAAACCCGCTCGAGCGTAGAAATCACACCTGCAGAAGTTTTGCAGGGACACGAAATACTAGGAGTGTGCAATCTCCGCTCGAGCGCCAAACGACCCGCTCGAGCGGAACGACCAAAAACCTGGCGACAAGGATTTAGACCAAGGCTCGACCTACCTACTCGAAACATGCCCAACACATCCTAAAACTCAACAAATAAGGAATTAAAGGATGACAACTAGGTATACAACCACCAACTTCACGGAACCAAAGTCCGGAACACAACAAGTACAAAAAGGAAAAATCGGGATCGCTATAACACGTTAACACTTGCTTGATCAATCTGTTTTGTGCAAGTGATCTATTCTGCTACTAGAGCTATCTGTGAGTAACAACTTTATAAAGCTATGTTTGACTATAAGTATTTTCTGATTGATATGATTTGATCTGTTTTTAGAAATGCTATTTTATGAATCATGAATGAATATCCAATTTTTTGAAATGTATTTGTGGCATTCTTAGTTCACGTGGCCCTCGCCCAGGGGAAACAATATTGTGGCTTATGTTCATGTGACCCTCGCCCAAGGGAAACAATACCATGGCCTATGTTCATGTGGCCCTTGACCGGGGGTAACAATACCGAGACCTGTGTTCACGTAGCCCTTGCTTGGGGATACGATACTGTGGCTATATGTGCACAAAGATGTTGATCTTATGGTCGTCTGTACCGACTATGCATGTGGGTCTTATGACCAATATGATTTATTAGCTAATGGATGTACCACATAAAACTGCTTATGAATTCTGTATAAGTATGTGAATCTGAATCTAAATCTGTTTCCGATATGAACTTTGATTTATGAATATGTGATGGATATCATTCATAAACCCTTTACTTTGTTGTTATTCACTGGGCTCCAGTTCATCGTATTATTTATGTATGTAGGTGGTCAGGCACGGGACTAGGCCTAAATTGCTTCCTGGAGTTTTATTTTGGGTTAGCCAACCACCGTGCCTCTCGAGGAGGTTCCCGAATTAAGAAGTGATCAAGTTTGGTGAACCATGTTTAAGACTTTTGTTTTCTTTTGTTTTTTCTGAACAAGTTTCTGTACTGTCTATGTATTGGGCTAAGACCCATTTTGGTTTATCTGTATATAAGTTGTCATCATATATGTAAATATAAGTTTGAAATTTTTCTGTCCCATATACGTCTACATAGCTTTATGGACATTGTATTTTGATATTTGCTTCCGCTAGCCCCCTTCTTTTGTTAATTCGTTTCAAAGGCCTTCGGTAATCTCAAGATTACTGGGCGGTTACGATGCTAAACCTATAGGGGTGGGTTTGGGTTGTGACACTATCTCAAGCACCCCTGTGCTTCCATCCAGACTTTGCAATCTATTTGTCTCGGATCTATCCATTTTTTTTGTTTTATTTCATGTTTTAGTTTTTCTTTCCAAACTCAAGTTATTATCCTTACTTGAGTTTAAGGAGAGGTGTTAAATATAGTAACTATATATTATATCGTTCATACATACCATGTTATATTTATTACTATACTTAGAATTATCATACTTAGATTTCTCCCCTCCTACATAAAGGAGTCTTGTATACACTATAATAATATACACATAACATAATATTCTCTCTCTTAAATATTGTAACATGGTATCAAAAATTTTCTATTTCACTCCTCCAAAGTAATCACCAAAGCGCTAAAAGTAAAGATTTTTTTTTTTTTCCCTGAGGAAGCATAAGATGCATCATAATATTAATGAAATCGCAGAGTGAGTACATTATCACAATACACTATTACAATGAAGGATTAAAATAAATATTGCACAACCCACGTTCTATCACCATGAATAGTGGAAAAAACTTCTATCAGCAGCACCTGCGAGTACCTACACATTGGTTGGAAAAAACAAAAGAATGTACCATACCTTGCAGGTCAAGACGCCAATGAAGAGCATCATCTTAAAAGAATGCAAAAAAGGCTTAGGTCTTCCTGACTGTCTTCTATGCAATGCGCTCTTTTTCGCTTGACGTGATCTATGCTTTGAGAGGATTGGATAATTTCCATCGCATTGTGGATGTCCCAATGTCGGATCAAAATTTTCCATGCTCATTTGTGCAAGTTCAAATGTTATCCAAAGTAAACAATTTTTAGTAAAAGATGAAAATAAATTCACTGAAAATAAAAAAATTTCTCACTTTTTTATTAGATAGGGAATTAAGTCGCTTATAATTTGTAAATTGAGCCAAATGAGGCATTAAATGTTGGTTGGTCATGCGTTGGTAGCCAAACATAGATAAAGTTAGACCATTCATTTTTTTGAAATTAAATATAATGAAACAATATGTTAGGATTATTGGATCAATCTGATTTATTTATTTATTTCTCAATGATTTACCTACACGAGATTACAAAATTAATAAATTAGATTATTGAAGTAAGATTCATGATAGATCTCATGTGCAATGGTAGAGCTAGAAAATCAATTTAGAGATGTCACCTATTAAATACAATTTCAAAATGTGTATTCTTCTAGCCAACAATAATAAAATAATGGATAAAAACAATTTTAGTCTCTAAAGTATGTACGTTATTTTAGTCTCTTAAATTTTAATTTTGTCATTTTTGAAAATCCTAAGTGATTCGTGATTAGATCAAGATTAAGATATTCCAAATTCCAATTATCCAAAACACTCAATCTAAATCAACAAGCACTTACGAGAGTGATTTAGATTGTTTGTTTTTCGGAATAAACAATAAATCGACACAAACGATTTTTACGTGAAAAAACCACAATTGAAGAACCTTCAATTGTAATAAAAAACCACGGGCAAACCGCCACTAATCAATCCACTACTGAAGAAAGAAAGATTACAAAGATAACACAAATTACCCAACCCAGTCAATTTGTCTTCGAATCTTCTGTAACTCTTTCATCACGCCTTCGTCTCGGAATTGATTATCCTGAAGTTGAATCCATAACTTCGTTTGTCGAATGAACGACTACGTACATAATCAACCTCCTTTGAAACTCTACGTTTGAATCTTCAGAATCCACCAAAGAGAACTCTCTTGAATATAAAGTAACAAACTCCTTGATGTATGAATCTCAACTCATAAGTTTAGAACTCTCTCAAGAACATCAAGGAAAACTCACAAAACCTTAGAAGAAAACTTCAAACAAAACCCTAGGACTCTTGAATAAGATCTAGGAAACGTCAATCCTAAAATCAGCCTAAACATGTATAAATAGGCAACCTGAGTCCGCGATCTCCGCTCGAGCACCCAACATCCCGCTCGAGCAGATTTAGCAAAATATGCGTGTGATAAAACAGAGTTCCGCTCGAGCGCTTGAGAACCCGCTTGAGCGCGAAATCACACCTTCCAGTATTTTTACAGACCTGACAAACTACTGAGAGACCCCAATCTCCGCTCGAGCGCCAATGGCCCGCTCGAGCGGGAAAGACAAAAACATAGAAAAAATTACAACTTTTTCAACACAAAGTTTTATACCCGGATTTGACAATAAAGGGACATAACAATTTTAATCCTTAAAGTCACTAATTTGAGTCATTTTGGTCTTGAGGCTAATGTCTGTTTCGGATTTGGGGTGCTTGCTGTGCACCCAGCACAGCAGGCACTGCTGTGCACCCTTATGGGCTTATTTCGGAGTCCATTTTAAAAATCTGAACCGTTCACATTTTAGAGTACATCGAGTAGAACATATCTGTAAAAAATTAAGTTAATCGGATATCATTAACCCTTTCATCCACTCACATTTGTATCTTCAAAAATAAATGACATTGTGATTTAAAGTATTAAAATAAATACAGCTATGAGTGGATAAAAGGGTTAACGATATCTGATTAACTTAATTTTTTACAGGTATGTTCTTCTCAATGTACTCTAAATGTGAAAGGTTTGAATTATCAAACGGACCCTGAAATAAGCCCATAAAGCTGCACAACAGTGCCTGCTGTGTTGGGTGCATAGCAGGCACCCCAACTCCGTCTGTTTCCCTTACTAACGGAAAATCTATTTTATCTTGTTTTTGCGAGGGCAATACAGGAAACCAAAAGAGAGAGAGGCCAAGAACAAGAACGAGAAAAGGGGAGATTCGAATGTCGGGTTTTAGTTGCTTCAGAAATTGGTGACGAAATCTAAATTCATTTGTGTTTGCTTTATTTTATTGGGGAAGCTACAAATCAGTGGGGTTTGGGAAAATATTTACAGTGTCATGAAAAAAATTATGAATTTAATAATTAATATCTATAAACTTTATCATGAGTTTGAATTTTTTTTGGCAAAAATTCACTATTTTATTTTATTTGTCACAGCTTCTAACCAAGAAACAAATGGGGTTGATGTTGGTCTTTTGGGTGAAAAGAATAATTTTTATTTGGACATGGAAATAGGTGATGACATTCTGTCACATATTGATCTTGGGTCATATGGTGGGGTTAGAACTACTGTTGGTGAAAGTCATGTCCAGAGGGATGATTTAGGCTTAGGTGAAACTGAGGGTCACATGAATGAAAATGATACTGAGTGCCAGAGGGATGAAACTGATACTGAGGGCCAGAGAGATAAGGGGACTAGAAGAGCACATGATTCTGATTTGGATAAAAGTGACTATGAAGGTTGCATAGATGATGAATATGGCATATGTATTGATGATGACAAACTATATGAGTCTAACATAGATGCAGATGTTGAATGGTCTAGGGTGCAACAGATTGTGCAAGGAGAAAATTGGGATGCTGAGGTCTTGAACTTTAATGAAGAAGCCGAGGAGAGTGACATTAACTCTGATTATGGGGACTCAGATGAGTAGTTGAGCTTGGACAGTTCATCTGATGATGACACATCTAGATCCAAGAGGCTCATTTTAAGCATTTCAGACCTGAAACTGACATGAGCGACCCTGAATTTAAGTTAGGCATGGTATTTACCTCTGCCGAGGAGTGCAAGGCTGCAGTAAAAGAGTACGCATTGAGGAAACAGAGAAACGTGAAGTTGGTGAGAAATGACAAATTAAGGGTCAAAGCTGTGTGTAAAAGAGGATGTCCTTGGGTTTTGTATGTGCCTAAATATGATGGGGATGCATTTCAGGTGAAAATTTATAACAAGAAGCACACTTGTTCTAAGACATACAACAATAGGAATATACCCTCTAAGATTTTAGCACAGAAGTTTATGGAGGAACTCAGAATCAATCCAAATTGGCCTGTCTCTGCCATGAAGCAAAAGATTAGAAAGGATTTGAAATTGGATGTATCAACAAGTCAAATTTATAGAGCCAAGAAAAAGGCATTTCTAATGATTCATGTAACTGATGCTAATCGATATTCCAAGCTTTGGGACTATTGTGAAGAGTTGAGGAGGACAAACCCTGGCTCCACTGTGGTGATGGAAGCACCAGATGATGAGGAACTTAGAGAGCCAAAGCCAAGATTTTTGAGATTATATGTTTGTTTGGAGGCTTGCAAAAGGGGACTTTTAGAAGGTTGTAGACCATTTGTTGGTCTTGATGGTTGCCATATAAAAGGTATACACAGTGGGCAATTGTTGACAGCAATTGGTATTGATCCCAATAATTGCTGATTTCCAATTGCATATGCTGTAGTTGAGATTGAAAATATGGACTCATGGGAGTGGTTCATTGGGCTGGTTCTCTAAGATTTGGGTATTACTCCTCAACAGCAACATCACTGGACCTCTATAACAGATTAACAAAAGGTATAATACTTGTTATTAGTAATTTTTACTTTCACCTTGTATATAGCATTTACTTACTTCTAAAATTTGATTTTGGTTTCCATTTGACAGGGTATAATTCCTGCAACTTAATGAACTAGTCCCAGAGTCAGAGCATAGGCATTGTGTGAGGCACCTACACAACAACTTCATAGAAACAGTTTCCTGGTTTAGCACTGAAGGATAGGATGTGGAGATGTGCAATGGCAACCACAATACGAAGGTTTACAGCAGAGATGGAGTTGTTAAAAGAGGAGGATGAAAAGGCTTTTGATTGGTTAGCTAAGGAGCTGGCAACATATTGGAGTAGCTCACATTTTCCTACTAATGTAAAGTGTGACCTTTTGTTGAACAATTTATGTGAAAGTTTCAATGCTCAGATTCTAGATGCAAGGGACAAGCCAATCATAGAGTTGCTCATGAGAGTGAAGGCATACTTTCACGTAGAAAGTGGGATCTATCAGGGATCCCATGTGCACATGCCATTGCTGCAATTCATGACAGAGAACATGAACCGGAATACTTACGTTGCTCAATACTACAAGAATGAATCTTACCAATGGGCTTATGAACCTATGATTCAACCAATGAGTGGCTATAAGATGTGGCCTAGGACAGGGTTGCCTCAAGTGCTACCTCCACACAACTACAAGCAACCTAGTAGGCCTAAGAAACTAATGGTGTGTTTGGTTGAGGGATTTGGGGAGGGATTTGGAAAGGGAAATGGAAAAAGTAGGTGAAATGTGAATAAAACATGCCTATATTTCACCTAGTTTCACATACCTTTTCCCTTTCTCTTTTCAAATCCCTCCCCAAATCCCTCAACCAAACACAGCATAAGAAGGAGGGAACCGGATGAGCCAACCAAACCAGGAAAACAACATAAGCTAAGGAGAACAAAGGCCAAGACTCAGTGAAGTGTAACAAATGTGGGAACAAAGGCCACAATAGAAGGACATCAGTCCATGAAGTTGTCATGCGACTAGGCCTTTTTTTATTTATTTTTATTCCTTTTTTTTTTAAATGTTTTTAATTCTTTTATTTTCTTTTCTTTTTTTCCTCACCTTTTTTTATCAATTTTTTCTCTTTCTTTACTTTTTTTTTTCTCCCTTGGTTGCTTTTTTTGCCTTGTTCTGTTCTTCCACACTCTGTTGCATAGTTTGGGCGGGAAAGTTTCCTCTGAGGATCCAGCTACACATTTTCTCACGTGTGAAGATGTTTTTCCGATAATGCCCTCAGCTGAAGTCGGCAAGTAAATAGACGTTAGCTTCAGGACTAAAATGGCTCAAATTGGTAACTTTAAGGATTAAAATGTCAAAATTAGAACTTGAGAGACGAAAATGACAATAAATGCATATTTTAAGGACTAAAACTATCTAATAATACATTTTTTAATTAATATTAACCATAAAAAAATTAAATATTCATTACAAAATTTTTACTGTAAACTTTCACATTTGACTTGGGCGAATTTTCATTTTTGAAAGCTTTCCATGATATAATTGAAAATATCTTAATAAAAAATTCTTGATTTTAATACAAATCATAGGAAATTAAAATTCTTAATTTCAGTACATTAAAATGCTATCACATTTAGCACAAATCACCATAAATTAATATCTCTAATTTTTTTTTAAGCTGTGATAGAAAAGTGAAATAGGAGACCCCATAAAAAAAAATGAGGGGACGCGACACGTGGCATGGGTAGGGCATTGGTGGGACATCTTGGATTGTTTTGGGAGTTAAACATTTTAGTTAATTTTTTTATTTTTAATAAAAAAAATGTACATAAAATTAGAGAAAAAAGTTGATTTATTTATTTATTTTTATTTTTTTGACTATTTTAGCCAATTACCAAAGTAAGTGCTTGCATTATATATATATTTTTTTTATAAAAAAAAAAAACAAACCATTTAAAAAAAAATGAGGGGTCACGTGACCCCTAGTCTTGCACACGTGTCCAATTAGACCATTCAGACAAGTTGTGTCCAAATTAAGTAGCCACAAACAACAACAAAGTTTATAATTCACAGATTTAGGAAGACATAGAATACCATCTTCATATATTTTCTCTATTTTCTCCCAGTCCTTCAACTTGTATAGAAATTAATTATAAAATCAAACATAACTCTCTCCAAGTGAGACCCACTTTATATAACAAGGATTGTGTCTGATTATGTAAATAATTTCTATGTACCTTAACTGTTTCATTCCTTATCGAGCATTTAAGAGTGTAATCGTGATTTCATTGACTGAAGTTGAACTTGGTGCATCTTTTCTTGAAGAAGAATCAGCTTCAAGTGGATTCCTCTCAGTGTAAAAACCAGGCAGTTTAGGCTGAGGCAATGCACCTTCACTGCCCAACATCAGAACTACACTTGACATACTTTGCCTGTCTTCTGGACATTGTTGTACACATAATAGTGCCACGTGGATTGATCTCAGCATTTCAGATGGATACATGAGTCCCTTAAAGATCCATCCATCAGTTCTAGTGACCTGCCTTCCTTGTAGAGTGTCCATGCCTGAACAATTCAACATGAAGATGACATTAGAAAAATAAAAATAAAAACAAATCTAAGGCCATGTTTTAAATATTGGCCAATACGAACTAATGATGAAAATGAAAATCAATGCAGAACTGCCCATATCGGTTCATAGTGGATATGGGCCTATTCGGTTCTATGGTTCTTTTAATTTTTAATTTTTAATTTTTGTTTTTTTTTTTTATTTATTTATAAATTTTGGATTTGTCATGTTGGTTGTGCTTGAGTTGATTTCAGTGGCTTAACTAAATGAAGATTATTCAATTTTGGCCTATGGTTTCGAATCTGATAGGTGGAGTGTTCTTCCCAGTGCCGTTGTTGGTGGATGCATGCCGACGGTTCTTTTTCATTGAAAAGAAGAAGATGTCTCTGTTTCATTTTTGTTTCGGCTGAAAGAAATACTTTAACAACAAAAAGAGTAAAATAAATAAATAAATAAATGAAAATTCTACGTCTGTTACTGTCACGACCCAAACTCACCCTATAAGTTTAGTGTCGTAACTGACTAGTAATTCGGAATTACCAAAAGTCTTCTTAACAGTAAACAGTAATAGAGCCAACAGAAGGCAAAAATAATAAAATAAAATCATCCAATGAACTGTGGGACTTACATGGGACAAAACAACTTTATATACTCTATGCAGATATTCACATGGTGTGACGACCCCACCATGTATAATAATTAGCATCTAATTAATTAAGGAGATTTGAATTTTAATTGCCCATTATTTTGATTTAATTTGGGATTTATGAAAGTTATGGAGACTGATTCATATATGATTCTATTGAGGATTTATTTTGGAATTAGAAATTGAAAGTCTAAACGGCTCAAGAGAGTATAAATGGTGAATCGAATTATTTTAATTTCGAATATCGGACCATACCGGAGTTTAATTAAATATTCGATTCAGATTTATAAATTTGAGATTTGATTAATTGGGTCCGAATTGGAGTTAATTAAGTTGTACGAATTAGGAATTAAGATTATTATGAATTAAATTTATGTATGAGGTGTTCAATTGAGTATGTAATTTATTGACGAAGATTTTGAGTTTGATTTGAAATTGAAAGCCTCATTGATGTGAAAAACCAAAATTGAGAATAGTGATACAATTTAATATTTGGAGCCTTTTGAGAGTTTAATTAAAAATCTGATTCAAATTGAGAAAAGTTAAATATAATTAATTGGACTCTAATGGAAGTCAATTAGACTAATTAAATTGTGTGGGTTTGTGATTAGTATTATTAATTAAGTTATGTACTAATTAAAATTAATTAAGACAAAATACAGTTTAGCTGAGTTAATTGTATGATCAAGAGACAAGCTAAATTTATCCATATGATGTGATTAATTGTGAAATTGTGCATAGGGGATTATAATTCTTGTGAGAGTGTGCTGGCACATTATTATAGTGCCTAGTGTTGTGCTGGACCCTTAATATGTTAGGTGTGTGTGCACGTGTTATATGTAAATGAGAGAAGTGCAGTTGAACTCATTTTCCATTTTGTTGGTGAAGCTCAAAAAAAAAAA